CTCCTCTTCCTCTTCCTCCTCCTCCTCTTCCTTCTCCTCCTCCTCTCCCCACAACTCGGCAAATGATCTTTTTTTCAGATCAGCTAAGTGTTGATCTATTGGTTGCAACAAAATTGTCTGTCCAGAGAGAAAGTGATTGGCCCAAGTCACTCAGCTAAGGCTGTACTAGAGCTTATAGTCTCCTGGTTTCTAGCCTGGTGCCTTAGCCACTGGACCAAACTGGCTCTTGATCTTTACAATCTGAGAATATTCAAAAGAATAAGGATTTTACTCCTATTGATTTTGTTTGTAAAAGTACCGCATTTTTCTGAAAAATGAGACGCATCGTTTTCCCTCAAAAAAGAGGCTGAAAATCTGTACACTGAATACAGCATTTTTTGCCTCCCAAAACACCGCCCCCTTCACCAAAATGGCTGTGCATAGCCTTTAGGAGGCTTTCAGAGTGCTCCTGGGGGCTGGGGAGGAGAGAAATGAGCAAAAAACTGGTGAGTTTTTGCTCAATTCCTCTCCCCCCGGCCCCTAGGCGCACTCTATAAGCCTCCTAAAGATTATGCATGCTCTTTTTTTTGATTAAAAAATGGGCCTCTAATGGGAATTGTATAGGACTGTGATGGCGAGCCTATGACAAAGTGGCATGTGAAGCCATGTCGCCCGGCATACACGACCTTGCCTATTTGTCTTCCAGGTTTCTGGTGCGCATGTGCACACGATGATCAGCTGTCCTTTCGCGTATGACAGTAAACCGGCCTGTGCATGCTTGCCAGCAGCTGATCGTCGGGCGTGCAGGCATGCTAGAACCTGGAAGTTCAGCTTTTCCGGAGCGCGTTTCCAAGGAGCGCGGGCACACGTGGGCGACATTTCTGCATGACCTTTTTGGAACTTGGTGCTGAAAAGGTTCGCCATCAGTGGTATATGTTCATGTGCTGAATAGTCATCAATAGGAGGATGAAATTTATCCGTCCTTTTCCTTAAATGAAGCAATGGGTATCCAAGGTTTGAATACATAAGAGTTGGAAACAGCCAAAAAAATTGAAGAAAAAATGAAACAGTCCAGATAAGTAGTATTCTTGAAAAACTACACTTATCTTGAAAGACCTGCAATCTTGTTTACTTCTGTACGCATCACTGACATAGGAGACATGAAGCCTTGGTGACTAAGACTATATTTTTATCAACTTGATATACTAGCAGCAACAGAATATCAGTATATTTCAGAGTAGGGATAACTAGACTGATATAGCCTGTTGTACATGCTTTGGCGAGCTCTCAATTGCATTACTGCGATCCTTGCATATGTGTAGAAATGAGTTCAGAAGGGAATTGTGAAGCTAATCAAGATTGCCAATACGATAAAACTACCATTTTGATTTGATGGTGCTTTTAAATCCATTCTCAAGAATTGCCTTAGCGTAGAATTGTTTTCATGGGGGGATTAAAATGTTTTTAGCAATCTTGTAATTCTCTCAGGGTCATTCAGATGAAGAGAGGTGGAAGCTAACTTCTTATACAAGTTACTGTATTACTAGGTTTATATTTTGCTTTATGACATTTTTTGGTAAATAGGCCCCTGGCCAAATTCATATATAATGTTAAGTCATAAATCATGATTTACATACCACAATAGCAAGTTCATACAACATTTCTAACTAAATGAAAATCACAAAATGGCATAATGTAACGTGTGATCTTAGCTAATGAATCTTGGATTGTGCACTGTAGCTATGAATACTTGCAAATGTCTCCTTGGCAGCCCAATTTGAATTTTCTCTCTGTAGTATTTTGATTCAAGTACATTTTCACAGCATGAAGGTGTTAACACATTAGAAGACATTCTTTAAAAGACAGTTTGCTTTTGTAGTGTAAAATTTGCCAATAATTCAACATTACAAATCTAGCAAATGCAAAGGAGTTCCATTATAAATACAGAAATCTTAATAGGTTTCTCGGAATCCTCGTGAACTCAACTGCTTCCTCATATTGCAATGCGATCAACAGTTATATATACTTCAATGTGGAATCTGGTTTTGCTAATAGTTTTATCACTTCGCTCATATTTAATTCAGCTTTATTCCCTGCAAAAATAACATGTATATTTTTAATAATTAATCATCTATTAATTAGTTTTGGCAATACCTATTTTTAAAGATCTACTCTAATTACATGGGAGGAAGAACCTTTTTAATAACAAGGGAGAAAAGCCAATTTATGCCTTTTGGCAGCCGATTTCTCCTTCAAAGTCACAGCTTAGTTTCCTTCAAAGGTGCAGCTAGTTCTCACTTTCATTCTGAAGGAGAAAGGTGCATTTGTCTTCAATATGCATAGCTTTAATGTGGCATGAGCCCTTCCAAAGAAGTCCTATTCCCCTCCATTTTTGTCTCCATCTTCACTTAAAAGGGAAGAAGAAAGCCTCATCCACTTTTATGCTTGTCCGAATGCCAGATTTTACACTTGTTATGTCAGACTGCAGTTTTTGCGCATGGTGCTTTAAAAGGAAGTGCAGTTTCACCCCTAGAGGCCCTGAAGAGCTGGGAGTTGCCCTCTTGGAAAAGGTCAGTTATCTCATCCATTCCAGGACTGCACAGGGTGTGTATTTGTGAACTAATCATTGCATCTCAGTCATTAAATGTAAGCCTTCGCTTGCAAATGCAACTAGTCAAAAAGAGCTGCTTGTCGAATTTTTACAGTGCCTATAGTTTGAAAGGGCCCTTGCTCTCACACAAATGTGTGGGGATAACATCTGTGAGGACTTTTCTCCAACTTTAGTGGACTGACTCAGCCTGGAGAAGATTCTGAAGATTCCCAGCCCTTTTTCAGTAGATAGACTGATTCTCCCATGCTTTTTTGGTCTTTTTAATGGAAAACTGAGGTTTATTTAATTGTATTTAAAAGCAGAAATGGATGTTATGTAATCTTGGACCACATAAAGCACTTGTCTTGTTCAGTGTAGTGTGTGAATGGTCAGTTCAAATATCCAGCACGAATGATATTTCTCTTCCCACTTCAGGCCAGTGGATCTCGGGAAGGATGTGATTCTAGCCCCAGTTGCTCTTTACCTCCACCAGCTAAATTACTTCCTGAACCACAGGCAGCATATTTTAAATACCAGTTGCTGAGGAGATCTATTATCCTCTTGTTGCTCTTTATGAGCTTCCCAAATACTATGTGTGGTAAAGAATTCTGGACCAAGTGAGCATTTGGCTTGATCTCATAGGAGAGTTTATGTTTATTCTGAAAGACAAAAACTGTAGATGAAGCCAACATAATTTAATATGCATTTATATTTATTCTGCTATTCAACTTGAAAAGCTCTTCAAAGCAGCTTTGTAGATTAATAAGCATGAACTACTGGAACCACAGACTTCCAATACTCAGCACAAGAGGAAAAAGAAATAGTAAAAGGAAACTTGAAGACAAATATTTAATTTTAAGGTTATTATAACTAGCTAAGAAAGAATTACATTGTTCACAGTTCTGAAACAGGCCCCTAAAAAATAGCTTGGCCTTCCTAAAAAACTGAGATAGAGTTCTTGACTTTAGAATCATAGAAGTTTCAGTTCTTCACCACTGAGCCCAACTATCTGCTTTAGGAATGAAAATTAAAACATACATCTTTAACTGCTTTTTAAAATAATAAGAAAAAGAGAAAAACAAAAGACGAAGAACACAAAAATACATATATGATAATATATAATTGTACTACAAATGAGTATACACACATATATAGATATCTATACATACTTACATGGGTGCGGTGGCTCAGTGGCTAAGATGCTGAGCTTGTCGATCACAAAGGTTGGCAGTTTGGCAGTTCGAATCCATAGCATAGTGTAATTGAGTGAGCTCCCGTTACTTATCCCAGCTTCTGCCAACCTAGCAGTTCGAAAGAACATAAAAATGCAAGTAGAAAAAATAGGAACCAGCTTTGATGGGAAGGTAACAGTGTTCCGTGCGCCTTTGGCATTTAGTCATACCAGCCACATGNTAGAATAGAAAGGATAGGATAGAATAGAATGCAGAATAGAATAGAAAGAATAGAATAAATAGAAAGGATAGGATAGAATAGAATAGAACTACAGTCAGAAGAGACCTTGGAGGTCTTCTAGTCCAACCCTCTGCCTAGGCAGGAAACCCTACACTACTTCAGACAAAGGGTTGTCCAATCCCTTCTTTAAAACCTTCCAGTGTTGGAGCATTCACAACCTCTGGTGACAACCTGTTCCACTGAATCATTGTTCCAACTGTCAGGAAATTTCTCCTTACTTCTAGGCTGCTTCTCTCCTTGATCAGTTTCTATCCATCGCTTCTTGTTCTACACTCAGGCGCTTCGGAGAATAGCTTGACTGCCTCTTCTTTGGGGCAGCTCCTCAGACCCTAGATCATGTCACCCCCCCTAGTCCTTGTTTTCATTAACCTAACAAGGAAAATAAGTCCAGTTGATACGATTCAACCTCCAAAAATTTTTCAACCCATTTTCTCCTTTGCTCCCTAAAATCCCAGCGAGCTGTGCAAAAATCCCTCTCCCTTAGCCTGCCTCAAAGTCTGGGAATTCACCTTTTTATCAGAGACGGACGGGTGTTAACCGAGCAGCTATCAGAAAATAAATAAATAAAACAACTGAGCAAGAGACAGCTAAAGGATGTCTCCTTCGTGACAATGGGCAAGATGCTATTCTGACCGATGGATTTGGGGGCTGCTGGGGACAGCTGTAGAGGACACGCAACAATCCACTGGAGAAAGAAATGTCCTGGCCCGAAATCTGATTGGAAAAGAACAGGAACGGCGCCCAACCTGCGCAGCAGAATAGCCACATGGGTCATACCCACGCAAGGATGGGTATGGGTATCATACACATGGTCATTGGGTAAAGACGTGGCTTGGGGTTTTCCATGCGGATCCAGAAGGATCTAGGGCTGTGCCCGCAGCGGGCATCGAGTCCCAGGCTCTCTTCCCCCTACCCTGCCATCTTGCCTGGCGCTCCTAGGCATCGGTGCTCCGTTCATTGTCCGGTCAGTTCCCATCTAGAACCGAGGCCGTGTAGTTCCCTGGGTAGAGACACGGACTGGGAGAAGTGCTGGCCAGGCTGTAGGCGGAGTAGGCTACCACGGAGCCCAGGGTCAGGCCCGTCATGTAGGAGACCGTCATGGTGTTACCTGGGAGAGAGAAAGGGAGAGGAGATGGTTACAACCCATCGGAGAGGGCAAGGGGTGTCCCGGTGGGGCCCGTGACATCATCCGGCAAAGTACGCAAATTTCGACAATTAACGTCCTTTGCGGGATGAGGTCATGATGCACATGTCTTCGTTTGAGGGATGACCACAAGCATAATTTATTTTAATAGTTATTCTCCTCGACAGGGATGAATGGATAGATATAGATAAATGAGAGAGAGAGATGATGGATGAGAGAGAGATAAGAAAATGAAATAGATGATGATGATTGATAGATGGAGATAGTTAGGTAGGTAGGTAGGTAGGTAGATAAAGATAGATAGATATAGATATAGATAGATAGATAGATAGATAGATAGATAGATAGATAGATAGATAGATAGATAGATAGATAGATATACCATAGGTAGGTAGATATGTAGGGTTAG